GTAAATGTGAGTCAGAGGGCTGAAGGAAGGGGCAGACTTCTGGGTCTGTGTGAGGAACGTCGGTGCACAGTGTAGATGGAAGAGGAGAGGAGAGCAGGGCAGAGCTGAAGACGTGGAGAGTAGGAGGGAGTATAGACCATGGTTAGTCCTTGCTCTGAGTGAGGGGCTTCAGAGTCCCCATCCCAGGACCTGTGAGGGGCCCAGATGACGACAGATGACAGGCACAGGTGACCTAGATTCTCAACCTCATAATTACACCTGCCTCCTGACCCTTCCTGCTGACAGAGGCATGTGTCCTGCAGAGGTGTGACCTGGCTGGCTATCAGTACAGGACACTGTCCACCTCACTGACTACATGTAGGACATGCGTGATCAGAGACAAGGCCTGCGCAGAAGGTCGGTTCCCAGGGCGGCCAGCAGTGGACTCTGATGAGGGCCTCTGGTGACCCGAAACCCAGTGGGCTGGCCAACTCCAGCAGCTCTGCAGTTCACTGCCCGGATAATTAGCAGTGTGGGCAGAGGCCTCTGCATGCAAGTAATTGGGCCCTGGAGTCCCCTCGCTCTGTAGAAAAAGTCAAGCCTGCCTTTCTCCGGCTCTCAGCCCACTTCTTAGGAGCTTGCCGGAGTTGTGCCTGGTTCAGGTGGCCAGGAAGTGGCTGTGGGACCCTGGGAGAGCTGCCATCACACTGTGGTCAGCTTGAGCAGTTCACAGGCCAGGCTTCTAACCCCAGGAAGGACTGCACACGTGTCCTGTGGCTGGTTCTTCCTGCCGAGCTTCTTGTCCGCTGGGCCAGATAGCACACTTACATCCGGGTGAGCTGCACATGAGTGTGTGTGTGAGTGAGAGAATGATTGTCAGTCTCAAATACTCCCAGCCCCCAGCTCAGTCAAGTGGTGGGTGGGACTCCCTTACACCCAGCGCCCTCACTCCCAGGCTGGTCCTGGGGCAGACCTCACACCCATGCACACTATGCTGTGTTCTCTCGTCCAACACGGGGCCCAGCTCAAGCCAGATCCTCCATGGACAGTACAGAACGCCGCCAGCAGAGCACGGTCACACAGTGGTGTGCTGTCAGTCTGACCCAAGTGTCACGACAGGTGTGAGCCAAGGTGGCCTGCAGGTGGCTGCCGCAGCGCCAGCAGAGGGAGAGCTGGACGGAGCTTCCCACCAAGCTCCCTAAAAGGACATCCTCTGTGAGGTACGGAAACCAGGCTTCTCCCAAAAGTATTGAAGAAGCTTGACTTCTAACTCACTGAGCAGACCGATGCTTTCTCTCTGTAACACCTTCAAGAACTTTATCATGACATGATCTTGGGCATCTTCACTCAAACCCTGGTGAACTTTAAGTCTCTGTCCAAGGGCCAGGAAAGAACAAGCAACAAAAACAACTTTCTCAAGTCAAAGGGGGATCTTCCGTTGGGTTCTGTGGCGTGGTGGCGTCCGGGGGAAGCCTGGAGTGTGGCTGACAGTAACGTGTTGTGAAATATCTTGATTCTCACTCATGTTCCCTCACGGTGCCAACATCATGCTCAGGGAAGCTGGTGAGGGGGACGCAGGAACTCCCAGCACTGTCTCTGCAAAATCTATTTAAGTCTAAATTGATTTAAAAACAGACCTTTTATTTGTAAGCAGATACAATTTCTCTCAGACTTTCAAGTGAAGGAGAGAGGAGGTTCCAGAGACCCTTGTAAGTAAGAAAAGTGTTCTATTTAAGCACTTACTCTGGAGATGAAGTAGCCAAATCATTAACGATGACTTTATCGTTAGTCGCTGTGATCTGCCCTCAGCCCTTGGTGGCTGTCACTCTACAGGGTCTTCCTCTGCCCAGATAATCAGCATGAACCCGGGAGGGGGCTCTCCTGACCTGTGTGATGCAGAGAATGAGACTGGAAGCTCCCAAGACAAGAGCAGTGAGCAAACGAGGGCTCTTCCTTCCAAGAATCCCCCAGACACCCAGCCCTCATGGACAGCAAGCCTGCTGTGACCCACTCAGCTGGACAGACGTACACTGCCCTGTCCATGGACCACATCCAGAAGTGAACCCTGCATGGTCAGACATGAACACCCCTGGAGAACAGGAGACTGACTGCTTAGCTTATAGAAGAAACATTAGCCTTTAGTTGATGTCCTAATACCAAGTGCTTGAAATTGACTGAGGATGGCACGTCTTTCCGAGTGCAGACCTGTGCTCAGGGAGAACTCTTTTTAATCACTTCTTGTGCGGTGTAAGTGGGTATGGGGACACACGGACCAGGAATACCAGGAAGGAGACCTCTTCTGTTTGCAGTGACTTCTTGGGCTGGGAGCCCTCAGCCTCTTGGGATCATCTTGAGTGTGGTTCCAGTTTATAAACCATTCCCCTTCTGTGTGGGGAACACAGCATGGACATCACGTGAGAGACTGAACACCAGTCCTGCATCTCTGAAGGTTAAAGGCGACCAGTCTTCATAACTGAAGCAAAGAGTGAGTAGGTACTGCAAAGGGTGGGGGTCCCTGGCCTGGTTTCACTCGGCTGCTCTGCCTCATCTCCAGATCCCAGTCCCAGGACGTGTGCTCACCCTGGCTTTCAGCTATCTCTGCTGAAGAGACCATGAAGCGGCCTCCCTCTTAAAGATTTAAGTACCAGATCACTGGTTCTCAGGATTTCTTTCCTCCCTGGTCCCCTCCCCATGACTGCATTTAAATTTAACACAGAGTTCTTTTCTAGTTAAAACTTGGTAAATAAATCTATGATTATTCTGTCCTTCTGCTTCAGAGAGCCAAGAGTCTGGTCTTTGAAACCATGACATGATCTCACCCCTAAGATCAGCTTTGACCTCTCCAGCTGCCCCTCAGTCCTTTACTCTTGCATGGCGATGTTTTGCAGACCTGCAGTGCCCACACACAGAGGAATGAGGGGTGAGAATGTCACCAAGGTGAGCGCCTTCATTCTGCTGGGCTTCCCCACAGCACCAGGGCTGCAGTATGTGCTCTTCCTCGTCTTCCTGCTTATGTACCTCTTCGTCCTGGTGGAGAACTTGACCATCATCTTCACTGTTTGGAGCAGCAGCCCCCTCCACAGGCCCATGTACTACTTTCTGAGTGCCTTGTCATCCTTGGAGATCTGGTATGTGTCCAACATCATCCCCAAGATGCTGGACGGCTTCCTCCTTCAGAGGAAACGCATCTCCTTCGTGGGGTGCATGACTCAGCTCTACTTCTTCATTTCTCTGGTGTGCACGGAGTGTGTGCTCCTTGCCTCCATGGCCTATGACCGCTATGTGGCCATCTGCCACCCCCTGCGATACCATGTCATCATGACCACAGGACTCTGTGTCCAGTTGGTGGGCTTCTCCTTTGCAAGTGCCTTCACTGTTTCCATAATCAAAGTCTGCTTTATCTCTCGTGCTACGTTCTGTGGCTCTAACGTCTTGAACCACTTTTTCTGTGACATTTCCCCCATCCTCAAACTGGCCTGCACGGACTTCTCCACTGCAGAGCTGGTGGACTTCATCCTGGCCTTCGTCATCCTGGTGTTCCCCCTGGTGGCCACTGTGCTGTCCTACGGACGCATTACCCTGGCTGTGCTGCGCATCCCTTCAGGCACTGGTCGCTGGAGGGCCTTCTCTACCTGTGCCTCCCACCTCACCGTGGTCACCATGTTCTATGTGGCCATGATCTTCATCTATGTCCGACCTCAGGCCATTGACACTCGGAGCTCCAACAAGCTCATCTCTGCTGTTTACACTGTTCTCACTCCAATAATGAATCCCCTGATCTACTGTTTGAGGAACACAGAGTTTAAGGACGCCTTGAAGAAGGCTTTAGGCTTTGGCCACAGTCTACCATAGACTGAATGGTCTAAAATCTAGTTTATGTTGTTAATTAAATAACAATTCCACTGCACTTCTTGTTGTGCAAGGTGATTTTTTTCGATGAAGTTGAAATAACTACAGAACTGTGCACGTGGAACACCCTTTCATCGGATGTGTCTCCACAAGCGGATACTCCTGTAGGAAACACCACATCAAAAGCCCCTACATTCTCTCTCTCTTGTTCCCATTAAACACTAAGTTCTAGACCAGATAATAGTTTGTCTTTCAAGTTTTATGAATGGATTCACAAAATATTTATGCTTCTTTCATTCAGTCTATACATGGGTGAATAATCGTTGGTTTTGCATGGATCCATAACTCACATTTTTTTGTTCTTGTATAAACCCATCTAAATACAGCTATACAAGCCATTGCAATAGAAAATAATAACAATGCTGTCTGTTACAAAGGGAGCTCGAACTCTGAAAAAAAAAAAAAAAAGGGAGCTCGAGCAACATAGAGTCACTGCGTCAATCCATCTTGTTAAAAGCTTTCTCTTTTATGCTGACCATCCACTTTTCAAGCATGATGTCTTTTTACAAGGACTGGCAACTCTTAACAGCATGCCCAAAGCCTGGAGCATGAAGTGTCACCATGCAGCCTCCAAGGAGCACCGCACTTTCACTTTCTCTAAAACATACTTGTTTTTTCTTTCGACAGTCCATGGACTATTTTCCAACACCACAACTCAAAGGCTTGAATTTATTTTTCATTCTTTCAGCTTGAGAAATGACAAGCGAGGTCTTCTCTTTTTATTCTCCAGTTTCAGCTCTCTGCACATTCCTTTATATACATTGCTTTGTATTTTAGAGATGCCCCTCTGAATCTTCTGTTCAGTTCTTTCCCCCACCCTTTGTATATCCTTTTTAAAAAATACTTTTTTTCTTTTATACTGGTTCACTTACAAAATTTGTATACATTGTTTTCTTACACCAGATCTTTCCCATTTCCTTTACCCACCTCTCCCTCCACCCATCAAATTGGTGACCCTATGATTAACCTCCCCACCCCTCTGCTTCCATACTTCCTCATACTTGCTTTATAATAATGGTTTTATATAATATTTGCCCTAATGGGATTGATTTAGTTGACCAGCTGGGCTTCTGACGACTGCAGACAGCAGAATAGCTGAAACCTTTCTCGGGCGGAATGCATTCCCTGACTTTGGCTGATGTAAAGGTTTTGAACAATTCAAGTTTTATTCATGATTAGAGTTGTAGAGTGGCTTTAGGCCTTTTGTTCATAGGGTCACTGTGAGTTATGCTCCACTTGAAGGCAATCAACAATAATAATCATAACATTTCAATAAAATCTAAACAGTATTTTATTTACTATGGAAAGCAAATGATATTCTGTTTAATAGAACTAGCTTAATACCTCTACAGTAACTCTCAAGTTAGGTAGTAATTTACAAAATCATTGTTCCTGCATGCTGTGTAGTATTCTTTTTTTAAAATTTTTTAAATTCTTTTTTTGTGAATTCTTTTTTTTTAAATTTATTATTAATTTCAATGAAAATTTACAGAGACTTTGGATTTCCATTTATTCATTGTTGCACTTTTGCTGTGTAGTATTCTATTGTGTAAATGTACCATAATTCATTCTTCAGTCGTTCAGTTGTGGTTGGACATTTGTGCTGTTTCCATGTTCTTGCTTTGGTGACTAATGCTGCTGTGAACATTGGTGTACAAGTCTCTGTTTATGCCTCAGCTCTCATTTTCTCAGAGTATATTCCAAGCAGTGGAATAGCTGGGTCATACGGAATTTCTATGTCTAGCTTTTTGAGGAAACTCCAAGCTGCCTTCCAGAGTGATTGTACCATTTTACAATCCCACTAACAATGTCCGAGAGTGCCTATCTCTCCACGTCCTCTTCAATATTTATTACATAATGGTGTCCTGTTAAACTTTGCCACTGCTACTGGTGTGAGATGGTATCTCATTGTTGTTTTGAGTTGCATCTTTCTTATTGCCAGTGATTTTATACAGTTCTTTATAAGCATCTCTTCCCTTTGTTTTGGCTTCTTGATGCTCTAGTGCAATTTTCAGAATCTCTTCTGACATTTATTTTGGTCTTTTCTTCTCTGTCTTTGTAATGACTTCTTGCTCTCTTCATGGGTATCTTTGATGTCATCTCACTACTCATTTGGTCTTCTATAATTAGCATTCAATGCATCAAATCTATTGTTAAGATTATTTTAAAATTCAGGTTAGATAGACCCATTGTTGTATTTTGATTGTGGACTTGTTTTCATTTTATTCAACTTCAATTTAAATTTGTACACGAATAACTGATAAACTGGACCACAGTCAGCACCTGGTAGGACTGCTGATAGTAAGCTTCTCCAGCGATTCTTTCCATAGACGTAGTCAATCTGAACCCTGTTCAGTCCATCGTGTGGACACCATGTAGATAGCAACCATCTGTATTTTTTTTCAAAAGGTATTTGCCATGAATAATCATTAAATGACAAAATTCAGTTCTTAGTCTCTGGTCTCATTTCTGTCCCCAAGCCTATAATTTCCAATTATCATTCCTTTCAGTTTATTTCTAACTTTTACATTCCAGTTATCATTTATTATTAATGCATCTTGACTACATATTTGGTAAATTTCAAACTGCAAGAGTTGGTAGAATTCCTCTATTTCCTCCTTCTTGGCTTTAGCTCCTGGTGCACATATGTGAATAACAGTTGTATCAACAGGTCTTCTTGGTATGTATATGGATAGTGTCCTATCACTCGTTATACTTCAGGTTGGGTCTCAAAGAGGTCTTTTTTCACTGTGAATGCAACACCATTCTTTCTCAGTTTTCCATTCCCAGCAGAGTAGATCATTGGATGGTCTGATTCAAAGTGGCCAATGCCAGTCCATCTTAGCTTGCTAATTCCTAGAATTTCAATCTTCCATTTCATTTTTAGAACTTCTCACTTTCTTACATTCACATCATTCCATGTTGTAATTATTAATGGCTGCTCACAGCAGTTGGTCCTCCTTTTTCAGTGTCTTCCACTCTGAGGGCTCCACCTCTGGCACTATGGCCAAGTGTCTTTCTGAAGTCAAGGTTAGGGGGCTACAAGTCCAGACATGAGATGCCAGCTCCAGGAGGAGGCTCTCTTGTACTGCTTGTGGAGGGACATCCTTGTCTCTGTCGACATGTGCAGGCCCAGGCTTCCCTGGAGTCCTCAAGCCTCCTGGTCTCTCGTGGTGCCAGGTCTTTGTCACGTCGGGCTGAGGTTCAAAAAGGTGCACTCTGCTCTGGGCAATGATTTCTCAGAGGTGTCTGGCTCACTTTTCTCTGTTTTTGTCTTTAGTGCAAGAAAAGACTTTACTGGCCACCCCTAAGGAAAACTGCCTTTATATTAGATTTCATCATGGGATTAGGGTGTATCACACGTTGCAATCTTAATCCTTCTATAGCTATTTGGTTTACCAGATTATGGAGAATCATGGCTCCTACATTACAGTTATAAGCATGTATGTTGGGGAGTCTTAGAGGAAGTGTAACCCAGGATGCTCTTTAGAGGTAAGGATGGTGAAACATCATCTGATGTACTTTGGGTGTGTTGTCAGGAGGGGGTTCAATCCTTGGAAAATGACATCATGGTGGTAAAGCTGGAGAGTCAGAGAAAGAGAGGAAGACCTTTGACTAGATGTATTGATACAGGGATTGCAATGGTGGCTTTGAGGATTTCAGATATGGTGAAGACGGTGTATGATAGGGCATGGTTCCACCTGTTGTTCACAGGGTTACTAAGAGTCATGTGGAAGCAGGAGCGGCATCCACTTCCTAAACAACATGGCTCTGGAAACTCTATGAACTTGGAGAAACGACGATGTTATAGAAAGGCTTCAGGCGTTTTGTTCATGTTCATAGGGTCTCTATGAGTCATGCTCGACTCAACAGCTATCAACAACAACAACATGAGTCATAGTTAACTTGGTGGCACCTAACAAGCCACATCAGCGTTCTAGCTGCTTTCTTACCCTTCCTGAGACTATTTCTTCTCTTCCATTGTCCCAACCTGCACGTGGTCGTCTTAGCTGCTCAGGCTGTTCGTTGGAGGTAGTGAGAGTGATTGCCAATTGTAGCCAAACACAACTGATACATCTCTGTCTAACTATAGCTCTTTAACAGAAGTTTTTCAAAACAGGAAACACTTCAAGACCTTTGCATGCCATCCTTGCACAGGGGTCTTATATTTTTAATATATGTGCTGCCAGGGTGAGAACTCCTGCCATGCTCTTCCAGGGCCTTTCCACACTTGTGCTGTGATGTTTCAGTGACATTCCAGTACTCACATAACAGTCCACGTGAACTAAACTATGGGTCACACCTCCTCACAAGGATGTTTTGGCTTCTGGGATTTCCCTCAACAGATGAACCAAACTTCCCCAATTAGTGATCAGTTGTTATGCGCTATCAAGACCTTGCACAATGGATTAATATCTTACCCTGTCCTGCACGACCAGCTCCTGAGACAGCCCCAAACTGACACCATCCACCCTGTCAACCATGTCTCGTGGCTGGCTCGCCAGTTCTCTGAACTTGTTGTTGTTAGTTGCCCTGAGTCAAGCAGGATTCACAGCGATACTGTGAACAACAGACCTGAACCCGGTCCTATCCTATACTGTCCTCATCATCTCTAGCACACTGGAGTCAATTGCTGCAGTCTTTAGGCCAATTCGTCTTGTTAAGGGCCTTCCTCTCTTTCACTGAAACTCCATCCTTCCTAGCATGATGTTCCTTTCCAAGGAATAATCTCTCCTGGTAACATGCCCAAGGTATGCGAGATAAAGCTTTATCATCCCTGTCTCCAAGCAGCACTCTGGCTGCATCTTCTCCAAGATGTATCTGTTTGTTCTTTTAGCAGTTCATGGGATATTCAGTGTTCTTCTTAAACATCACAACTGAAAGGCATCATTCTTCTTTTATCACCTTTATTCATTGTCCAGCTCTCAGATCCATAGCAAGTG